GGGGGGGGTTGGTCTCTTTTCCCAGGCAACTCTCAGCAAGACAAGAGAGCTCAGGGTCTTCAGCTGTGCCAGGGGAGGTTTAGGTTGGATATTAGAAAGAATTTCTTTGCAGAGAGGGTGATCAGCCATTGGAATGGGCTGCCCAGGGAAGGGGTGGATTCTCCGTCCCTGGAGGTGTTTAAGGACAGACTGGATGTGGCATCAGTGCCATGGGCTGGGAACCACGGCGGGGTTGGATCAAGGGTTGGACTTGATGATCTTGGAGGTCCCTTCCAACCCAGCTGATTCCATGATTCTATGATTCCATGATTCCATGATTCCCAGCCCACCTCCAGCCACGCTTTGCTCTGCGGAGTCACTTCCAGCCCAATGACAACACGGGGACTCACAGGGGGCCAGCGCAGAGCTGGAACCTTTCCAGTGCCCAGGAACACCCACGTGGGTGCCCCCGGGTCCCCCCCAGGCCGTACCTTCACAGCGGGGCAGGGGGTGGTCCCAGTTCCTGTTGGTGCCGTGCTGGCAGGTCAGCATGGGGTGGCCGATCAGCTGGAAGCCAGGGAGGCACTCGAAGGAGATGGACTGGCCAACGTTGTACCCGGCCCCTCTCACCACCCCGTTGGCAAAAGGCTCCGGGTCGGGGCACTCCTGCAGCTCGTAGGCTGGGAAAAACCAAGGGAAAACGGTTCATAGTTCATTTTTCAGGGAATGAGGGACAGGAGTAGAGGGAACGGCCTCAAGCTGCACAAGGGGAGGGTCAGGTTGGACATCAGGAAGAATTTCTCCATGGAAGAGGTTGTTAAACATTGGCAGGGGCTGCCCAGGGAAGTGGTGGATTCTCTGTCCCTGGAGGTTTTTAAGGACAGACTGGATGTGGCATCAGTGCCATGAGCTGGGAACCACGGCGGGGTTGGATCAAGGTTTGGACTTGATGATCTTGGAGGTCTTTCAACCCAGCTGATTCTATGATTCTATGACTGTCCCCCTGCTGCTCCACCCGTGCCCTCCTCACCTTGATATTCCAGCTTGAAGCCTGGCTTGTTCTGGGAGTGGTCGCTGTGGAAGTAGACGGTGGTTTCGTGGGAGGTGGACAGGAGGGAGCCGGGCAGGTCGGCGCCGCTGAAGCGCCCGATGACGGTGCTGGTGTCGTAGGGCCCATTCCGGATCTCCACAAAGTCGTGGTTTGGCTCGGTGGAGAAGTTCAGGAACTGGATGTGAGCACCTGGAGAGCAGGAAGAAGGAACAGTCTGCACCTAAAGCTCCACCTCCAGCAGCACTGCTCGCCCATGGGGGCCAGGACAGCCCGGGCAGCCAGCAGGACATTCGCCATGGGGGGGACAGAGGGTGGCCCCACACTGACAGAGAGCAGGTTCAGATTGGAGATTAGGAAGAAATTCCTCCCTGGGAGGGTGGGGACAGGTTGCCCAGAGAAGCTGTGGCTGCCCCTGGAAGTGTCCAAGGCCAGGTTGGAGCAACCTGGGCTAGTGGAAGGTGTCCCTGCCCTGGGACTGGATGGGCTTTAAGGTCCCAACCCAATCCAACCCATTCCATGATTCCATGATCTTCCCACCACCTCTTCTGTCTCAAACCCAGCTGTCTCACCAAACCCCACTGGCAGCAATATCCTCCACGTGCAGTCCAGGTTGCTGGGATAATTCCCTGGGAAGCCTGGGCTCAGGAGCACTCCTTCCATCTCTTCTGCTGTTCCTCCACACTGGGCTGTAAAACCAACAGGGTTAATGGTCAGGATCCCTCACGGGTCTCTCTCTGGAGGATGGTCATGGCCAGCTGTGTGGGAAATGAAGAAATGAAACACTTGAGAAGAGAAGTAGGAAATCCTGCTATGGAACCAACACAAAGCTGGCCAAGCACATTACTAATGCAGGTGTCTTTCTCCTGCCCTCTGGAGATTAAAGCCTGGGCCCAGAGACCCAGTTTTGGCAACCACAGAGGGAGAGCCAGACCTGAGCATTGTATCAGTGCATGTCATGCACCAGCACTTGCTTGAATTTTTAACCAACTGAAAAATTACTGTGGAGAGACAGAGTGATCCCAATTTTGACTCCAGTTCCAGCCACTTCTTCTCCTTGTTACCTGCTCCACCTGCCAATCCCTGGGCAATTACCACCAAATATAGAATGGGGTGTTTGCACACTGACTGCAGTCCATCCCCTCCCAAGGAGAGATCCGGAGATGACAGCCCAAAAATATGTTTACAAAAGGCATCACATGAAATTCAAGCACACAGATAGCATCTTCTCATGCTTATCTGGGCGACCTCTGCCTGGTTCCAGCAGCACCATCCAGGTGGATGTTCCCCTAACACGTTCTGACAGCAGGGGACAGACTCTTTGTCCAATATCTCATTACGTGTGTACTTGCTGCTAACAAGGTTTCTCCCAGAAGATTTCTCTTTCTTTTTCCTCTTTAATGGCTCTTTAATAGAACTACTTCTGAATTATTTAGAAGTCGAGCATCTGGGCGAAGTAGACCAGGAGAAAATCAGCACACTTTGGCTGGGGGAGAGGGTTGTGCTCTGAGCAGGGGCACAGCCACGGCCAGGGCTCTGGGCAGGGCTCAGACCAGTCATGGGCAGAGGGCAAAGAGCCCCAGGATGGTCAGCACAGGGTGCTGGGACATCCCAGAGGGGATGATGGGCACTCAGGATCATAGAATCACAGAATCAGCTGGGTTGGAAGGGACCTCCAAGATCATCAAGTCCAACCCTTGATCCAACCCCGCTGTGGTTCCCAGACCATGGCACTGATGCCACATCCAGTCTTATTTTGAAAACCTCCAGGGAGGGAGAATCCACCACTTCCCTGGGCAGCCCATTCCAATGGCTGAGCACCCTCTCTGGAAAGAAATTCTTCCCAATATCCAACCTAAACCTCCCCTGGCACAGCTGAAGACCCTGAGCCCTCTTGTCTTGCTGAGAGTTGCCTGGGAAAAGAGACCAACCCCCCCC